TGGGGGAGTTCGAAATAACATTTCAACAGAGATCTGCAATCCGAGCTCAAGCATTGGCAGATTTTATTGTAGAGTGCACTCCAGGTCATTCAACCCTTAATCCAGAACCCAACAACTGGACCTTATATGTTGATGAGGCTATTAATAGCAAGGGTTCAGGAGCTGGTGCTCTCTTGATTGGCCCAGATGGATACCAAAGCGAACATGCCCTGAAATTTAACTTCGATGCAACAAACAACATGGCTGAGTATGAAGCTCTGCTACTTGGTCTACAACTATCATTGAAGTTGAAAATCAATGCGATTCAAGTATACAGTGACTCCCAGCTGGTGGTGAACCAAATCAACTCAATCTGCGAAGTCGTTAATCCTGTGATGGTGAAATATGTAGCCCTGGTGGCTGAGATGAAATGCAAATTCCAGAAATTCTGTCTGAATAAAATTCCCCAAACTGAGAATGAATAGGCAAATTCACTCTCAAAGCTTGCCTCTGATAGCTCTTTAAGTTCTAGATCAGTTTTTGTGGAGGTCTTAGACGAACCAAGCTTCATGAAGCCACGGATGATGGAGATTAGCACAGACCCTGACACACCGAGTTGGACCGACTCAATTATCTCCTTTTTACGAGATGGGATAGTACCTGAGGATAGGCAAGAGGCAATGAAGTTGAGGAAGAAAGCATCTCGGTATACACTCGTTGATGGGGTCCTCTATAAGAGATCTTTCTCACTTCCTCTTCTACGGTGTTTAAACCCTTACGAAGCTGAGTATGCACTTTGGGAGGTACATGAAGGTGTCTGCGGGAGCCACGTTGGTGCTAGAACTCTGGCTCACAAAGTCTTAAGGTAGGGATATTACTGGCCAAACATGAACAAAGATGCCACTCACTTTGTTCAGAAATGCCCGAAATGTCAATTCTTTGCACATTTGACTCACCAACCAATAGAAGAGCTCACGAACTTGGTAGCACCGTGGCCATTTGCTCAGTGGGGACTGGATCTTTTAGGCCCATTCGTGAAAGGGGTTGGTGGTGTAACCCATCTGATTGTTGGTGTGGATTATTTCACAAAATGGGTTGAAGCTCAGCCATTATCTAGTCTTACCTCCAAGAAGGCCGAACACTTTGTTTTCAGCTCGATCATCTGCAGATATGGGATCCCGAATCAGATTGTAGCTAATAATGACACTCAATTCAATTGCTTATCATTCCGAGATTTCTGTTCCAACTATGGGATCAAATTGCAGTTCACCTCCATTTACCATTCGGAGTCCAATGGTATGGCAGAATCTGTTAAAAAATGCATTTTAGAAGGAATAAAACCGAGGTTGGAACAGCACAGGGCCAAGTGGGCGGACGAACTCAACAACGTCCTATGGGCATACAGAACAACGAGTCGAACTGCCACAGGTACTATTTCCAGCTTAAGTTCCGTTCATTATATTTTCATTTTATCTCACTTCCTCACCTGAGACTCTACCTTAGATCAAATGTGCATAATATGTAAAGCATATTCTAAAGAATATAGTTTCATGAAATAGGTGAAACACCCTACCACTTGGCATTTGGCATCGAAGCAGTCATTCCTATTGAAATAGGAGTCCCAAGCTTCCGGGTCACCTATTTCAATGAAGGACGAAATGGACAACTGCTTCGGGAAAACCTTGATCTGCTTGCTGAAGTCAGAGAAGAAGCACGACTTCGAACTCTAGTATACAAGCAAAAACTAGCCAACTTCTACAATAAACGAGTCCGCCCTAAAACATTCAAAGTAGGAGATCTTGTTCTCAGGAAAGCTGGCCTAACAGGGTTTGAAACTCGTTTTGGCAAACTGGCCCCAAATTGGGAAGGCCCTTATACAGTAGCTGAGGTGCCACACCCTAGTGCTTATGTCCTCTAAGACGCTGAAGGAAAGAGAGTTCCTAGAGTCTGGAATGTCAATAACTTGAAGAAATTTTACCCCTAATAAATTTCTTTCAAGTGATCTATGTCTTACTATCCTTTACACTTATTATTTCGTGATTATTGAAATTCACTTTACCTCTTGAACTTCACTCCTATTAATGAATATCACTTCGCGTGTGAAGTGCTTTATTTCTTTTTATTACATCTGAAGTGATTTACTTCTTCTTACTTCGTCAGAAGTGGTTTACTCCTTTTTAGTTGATTTCTGAAGTAATTAACTCCTTTTTATTTCATCTCTGAAATGATTAGCTTTCTTTCAAAACGAATCTCAAGTAATCTTAGTTCTTCTATTAATGTAAACCGGCAAAAAGTAAAGCAAATACAACACGTGATTCCAATGCAAAATTTTCTATTAATAAAAATATTACAAATTGTTATTACAACAAAGTATCAAAGAAAAATTAAAAAGCAAAATTCTTTATTCTGCTGGAAGAGGTGGCTGAACTGGCTGCTGCTCAGCTGGAAGAGGTGGTTCTGTTGGCTGCTGCTCGTCTGGCAGTGGAGGCTGCTCATCATTAGAAAGAACCGGATGAATCTCCACTTCTGGAGCAGGTTGGTTCTCATCCACTTCAGTTCCTCCCATTCTTGGCCCCACTCCATCTTCCTCTACCTCTGCCCCTTTTTCCTCTACTGCAACGAACTCGAAGTCAAACTGTGGAGGAAAAACAACGCGTCCGTCCGCATCATGATCCCACCTCAGTTTGATCTGAGGACGGAAGTCTGCTAACATGCTCTCACCGTTCTCCTCCACTCCTTCTTCTTGCTCGCCGGAGGTGATCTTTATAATATCCACTTCAGGATATTCAGCCTTCACCTTCTTTCTGCAGTCCATGAAAGCAATGATGGCAGTTGGCAGTCGGTATAAGTTGACGATGTTGTCAAACGAGTTGGACCTGATGAAGTTGTTGATGTGCTCCTTCATCCCATTGTGCACCAACATCTGCACATTCTCCTTCAGCTCCATGAAAGCATCCTTCATCAGCATTATTTCCTTCACCTGAGCCTCACGCTCGCTTTCAGAGATCCTTCGTTTGCTCTCCTTAAAGACGAGTTTGGTGCTCAGGGAAGCCCTCTCCTGCTCCAACTGTTTCACAGTTGGAACCACCTCGTTCAACGCCTCTTGTAGCTCCTTATTCTTCTTCTCCAACTCCTCCTTCTCTTTCTACAAATGGTCACACTGCCTTTGCAAGAAGGAGCGCTCCTTCATGCTATCCATGAACTCCTGAGCTAGACCATTCACCCAGCTCATGCTCTGCAATTCAAAGCAGAAGTTAAGAGAAAAAGAAGGGAAGAAGAAAGAGATTAAACAAACAACACCAATAAATACAAATAACTTAACATACTCCAACACATGCTTCACTATTGAAGCCCCACAATACCTTAGAGCCTTGTCCTGTGTGTTGCGTTTGTCCACTTCGGGGAAGGTGGTGTTGATGAACCTCCTAGCCCCCATCATGTTCTTCGCCTCAAACAGGCTGCTCTGAAACGCCAATGGGGGAACAGGGCCCTTTCCCTTACCGAGAGCTCGTACCTTAGCCCCCTCCTCCAACTGTCTGAGCTTAGGGTCAAGCTCAACAGGAGGAGGCTGAGGTACGAACTGGGGAACCTCGCTCCCCCTCTCCTCCTCCTCCACCACCTTCTTCTTTTTCTGTAGTGCCATTCTCTCCTCCCAACCCTTCCCCTTCAACTGTGGCACCTCCTCATTCGCCTCAGCTGAAGTAGTGGGCACTACCTTTGTCACGCCCTAGAACCCAAATCCAGGGACGCGACAGACGCCGTGCACTCATGAGAGGGTCCCACAAATGCACAAATCTTGGAACTTATCATACCACAATCTGATACCATTAAAATCTGAAGATCAAATTTCATAATTTGCTCTAATATCATAAGTCTCCAATAAAATCTCCAAATACAAGATTGTGATTTATTTCTAAATCTATGTTCAATCTCGAATTAGCTAGCCTTCTAACTCCTCACTTCCCGTGATTTTCCCGTCCTCGGTTTCGCTTCCTAAAATGGTGGACAAGGAAAAACTATGAGATAGACTCAGTAAGTAAATATAGATAGCCCTTAATTAAACTTATAGCATGCCAACAAGTCCAATCAGAAAAACGGATACGAGTACGGGAACGAAATAGACGTCTCCTCTACAAGTCACGGCCAGTGTTATAAACCTCCCACTGGCAGGCTACAGAAATTACTAGTGTATAACCCCCACTAGTAGGGTTACAGAAACGAACTAGTTCTATCAATAACATGTCGACATGTGCTAGCGTTTAACCCCCACTAGCTGGATTACAGAATTAACATGACCATATCGGAGACAAAACAAGCTAAAGTTAACAGAAAAATCATAATTCACCAATCACTTTCAAATCATCAGGACAGTCAAATAAACTTCAAGCAGGCATGCTCAAATCAATAAAAGAATAATAATCTTATTTAAAATTAATCATACTTCTTTTGTATAAAACGGGTTTAGTCTCGCCACTACTTCAAAAAAAAATCAAAACATGCTTTAAAAACTATACGGGCATTACCATAAATTTACTTACCTCACTCGCATAAACCAAAGATTCGATCTCAGTGCTAACTGACAGAACGATTGGGAACCTAATCAAAATATCCAAGAATTAATTCTATACTATCACAAATTCAAACTGAAATCATCATTAGGACTACCCCTAATCACAGTGCTATTCCTATCAATCTCCACATGCTTAAACATCTCCAAATTTGTTCTTATATCACAAACTAATCATTTAAATCCCCGTTAATTGTTGGCCTTCGGGATGTAAACAGTGCCTATGAACAGTGCCTATGAACAGTGCCTATGAACAGTGCCTATGAACAGTAACTCCAACTTCCAAAAATTGGTCAAAACACTAATTAATTCACGGGATTTTCACACAAAACCTCACAGCAGCAAATCAAGCTAATTCCTACATAAATTAAGTAACAAAACACACTTAAACCCCTTTTAATTGCTACCGGAATTTCCCCATTTTTCCAACACAATTCGAACACACAAGGCAGCAAACTAAATGGACAATTTAAGCCTTAAAAGGCTATCACATACCATAATTCTCTAGCTGTAGAAATCGAAGCTATAAGGGGGAGTTGCCGGCAGGAATTTGCAAGGAAAATTCTGCAGGGACTCATGGAATTAACCCAACTTCAAGAACCACAACCTAAATCAAAGCTAAAAGGATGAAATCATGGCTGTTTCTTACCTAAAAATGCCCAGAAATTCGCACACTCACTAGTAACCGGCGGATAAGGGATGGAGAAGCAGAGTAGATCCAGGATTTCTGGGTTGAGGGAGAGAGTTCTAAGCCCCAAATCTTGTGATTGAACAAGAAAGAAGGATAAAATCAAGCTCCTTTACTAGTTTCCTTAAGGTAGGAGCATCGGTGGCTTGGGCAACTTGTCGGGGAAGAAGAAGAGCAGAGCAGAAACGCATGGGTCTGAGGAGGAAGGAAAGAAAGAAGAAAAAAGAAAAAGAAGGAAGCTGATCCTTATCCTAAAATCTTTCCCTCTTTAAGTCCCTCAACTTTGGAATTTTGATCATCAAGCCCCAAAACAATCTTTTCTCACAATTTAGTCCTTAATGCTAAAATATCACAAAATTTTGGGGTATTACAACCTCCTTCCCAGCTCTCACCTCATCCACTTGCTTGGTTGAAGTCTTTGACTTCTTCCTTGGCTTCTTGGGGATGGCCACTCCTCCAGCAGTGTTCAAAAATTTATCCATTTCAGCTGCAAAACAAGAAAACACAATATCAATTACACAGCTCTACACTCTACAGTAAAACACTACAATGTAAATCTAAACAAACCTTCACTTAAAGCGCTTGGCCCATAGAGCTCGACAGCTTCTATGCTTTCTACCCTGGTGAGGTCCATGATGTTTAATAAATCCCCCCCTTCTTCACCAACTTCCCCACTTCCTCCTCTTCATCCTCGTTTAAGCTAAACTTATTATGGTTGGCTCTTTTAGCCTTTCAGGATGCTAACTCCCTCACCTCGGTATCCCCCCTCTCCCTACAAAAAAGAATTTTTCCTTCCATCCTTTAATGGAGGAAAGACCCGCTGTAAACAATGCCCTACTCTCCCTATTAGCTACCCTAGGGGTGAAATAATACCACCCCTTATCCTTCCTACTACCCCCTTTCAAAACAAAAAAATACTTAAACATATTTACAGTTGGCACATTAATCCCCTGAGCTCGGCAATAAACTAAAAATCCTATTATTACCCTCATAGCGTTGGGGACTAACTGTGTCAACCCTATACTATAATCTAACAGCAAACCTACTAGCAACTCAGGGATTGGAAATCTGAGCCCAGCCGACAAATAGTGAGCATACACAAGCATCCAATGATCCTGAGGCGCAGAGCACGCCCTCTCCTCTACCCCAACTGGCCTAACTAACACTCAGGAAGAGATCTCGTAATTCTCCACTAAATGACCCAGGCTATCTTTGGTCCCGAGTTTAGATCTGTACTGCTTCACCTCCTCCACTATATCTGCACCTGCATCATAACCCTTCTCTCCCCTACCCTCTACTTCTACCACGGTGATGGGTACACTATCCCCCCCAACCTCCACCACCTCATCTCCTCTCACCCCTTCCACCGTCCTCTTCGAACTAGATGGAGACGGACTACTCTCCGTGTCCATGCTCCAATACTCCATGGGCATTACCTCACTTCCTACCACACTCATTGTATCTTTTGAGGACATTTTCTTAATTTCTGCATGAAGTAGGGGGAAGAATGAAGTCAAGACCCCTTTTTTTTTTAAAAAAAAAAAAAACTGCAAAGCACACTAAAAATCATTCTCAGTCCTACCCTAATTTCCTTCAGAGGACTCTAAATCAACCACAGAAAGGGAGAAAGGAGAGTGACACTTCGATTAACTAAAAATTAGAGATTCGTAAACATTAACTGATTTCGGTTTTGAAAGCTTGATGTAGAAATCCACAAATGTTGCAGCAACTCACGCGCAGGAAGCACACAGTAAAGATTTCACGAAAATTTTCCAAAAATCACAATGAAAGTAAACTTCTTTTTGCAGAAAAATGACTATTTATACCTCTGGGCAAAATTAGATCTCAATGGTTGGGATTCGTTTAATCTTACGGTCTCTATTCACACCGTTTTGAATTCGACGGTCAACCCCAAATGGCACTGTTTTGAACTCGACGGTTCATTTTTTAAATCTATCCGTTTAACTGTTGCAATTATCTTTTTACGGCCGCATTTATTGCGCACGTCATTCAAAGGACAACTGTCACACCACCTCCCCTTATCAGACTTCTCAGCCAGGCCCACTTAAGCCCATTTCAACACTCTTACTGACCTTTACACATTCTCAATTTTTGCAAGTGTTTCACTTCGGCTCTGGCCATAATAACTTTGTATCACATTTCACATCGGCCTAGACCACAGTGACCACCGTCACACGTTTCACTTCGACTCCGGCCATTATGACTCTGGTCATCATTTTTTATCACGGCTCTGGCCATTATGACTCCGGTCATCATTTTTTATCACATGTTTCACTTCGACTCCGGCCATTATGACTCCGGTCATCATTTTTTATCACAGCTCCAGCCATTATGACTCCGGTCATCATTTTTTATCACGGCTCTGACCATTATGACTTCGGTCATCACTTTTTATTACGGTCCCTGCCACCATGACTCCGATCATCATCTCTTACTATGGCTACGGTCACATTGACTCCGGTCATTATTTTTACCATGGCTACGGCCACGATCGCTCCGGTCACATTCTATTTTAGGCATCCCCAACATGACCCCTTATCGCATACTTCATTATTAGCTACGGCTATGTATGCATTTGAGTTACAGATTTTATTTTTTCCTTTTACTTCTATGACTTATCCGTATCCTCTTTGTTTGTGCACTCCTCCCATTATCCCCAACAACATCATTCACAAGTGAATGACTTCGGAGGGGAATAGTGTAAGGATAGGTCCGAGGTGCCAAGCCTCGGACTGCTACAGTAATTCCTTTATGACCGAAGTGAAGGATAAATCCAAAACTTCCCGCTAAAATAGCTGCATGACAGCGACAATAAGCATGCTCGCACCTGATTCCTTATGATGAGTTGCACAGCAAGTATGGTGGACATCCTTGCATCTAAATACCTCTCAAATTCTCGGTCCCGGAATAATCGTCTGGATAGACACGTCAGGCTCTGATTATCTTGCTTGGCATGCCACGTGGGTTCCTCATTGGATCCTATAAATACCCCCCATGGGCCACGTCAAAAGGTAATTGAAACCAACCCTAAGCTCCTTTTATCTTCGCTCCTTTTATCTTCGCTCTAAAGGTAGTCCCGATTATTGCTGACTTAAGCATCGGAGTGTCTACCCCGAGGACCCACCTCAGGGCTTTGCAGGTCAATCCGGAGTGCAGATACGGACTGAAGAAGGACTTCTGGTTTGGTGCAATTACAGAAGCGAAAAATGAATTGAAATTAGTGCTCATCTTAATTTAACTAAAATTATAACTAAGGAACACATATCTCGGCCAACAAAAATTGAATTGACATTAGTGCTCATGTAATATCCCAAAATTTTGTGATATTTTAGCATTAAGTTAAGGACTAAATTGTGGAAAAATATTGTTTGGGGCTTAATAGCCAAAATTTCCAAAGTTGAAGGACTTAAAAGAGAAAATGAATTGGATAAGGATCAACTATTTTCTTTTTCCTTCTTTCTTCTTCCTCACCCACGTGTCTGCTCTTTTTTTTTTCTCCTCTGCAGCCAAACAAAGCCCCTAAGCTGCCGACAGCCCTCCCTTGAAGAAAAACTGGTAAAAGCTTGGGAATTTCTCCTTCTTTTCTTGCTCTAGAACACAAATTGAACCCAGAAATCCCTCCCCCTCTGCAGAAATCCAGATCTGCTTTGCTCTGTCCGTCTGGTTGCTGCTCTTGCCGGTTTGTGGGTGCGAATTATGGGCATTTTTAGGTAAGAAACAGCCATGATTTCATCCTTTTAGCTTTGATTTAAGTTGGGTTCCTTTAATTTCGGGTTAATCCCATGAGTTCCTTGCAGAAATTCTCTTGCATTGCCATCGGCCTCCTCCCCAAACTACAGCTTCGGTTCTGCTGGCTGGATTTATGGTATGTGACAGCCCCCTTTGAGCCTAAAATCATCCATTAGTTGTTGAATTATCCATGTAGTGGCTGCCCCCGTGATGTCCGAAATTCTGTTGAAAAATGGGGATGAATTTGGGTAGTAATTATAGCATAATTAAGCTTAATGCATGTATAAATTGCTTGAGTTGGCTGCTAGGATTTTTGGAGAGAAAATCCCATGAATTAGCCATTGTTTTGCCAATTTATGGAAGTGTAGTTACTGTTCATGGCGTGATCACTGTTCACGGGCACTATTCACGGGCACTGTTCACGCACTAATGGCCAACAATTAACAGGGATTTAAATGTTTAGTTTGTAATATAAGAATAAATTTGGAGATATCTGATCATGTGGAGGCTGATAGAAATAGCATCGTGATTAGGGGTAGTTCTAATGATGATTTTACTTTTGAATCCGTGGTACGGTAATTAATTCTTGGATATTTTGATTAGGTTCCTGATCGTTCTGTCAGTTTAGCATTGAGATCGAATCTTCGGTTTATGCGAGTGAGGTAAGTGAATTTATGGTAATGCCCACACAATTTTTAAAACCATGTTTTGATTTGTTTTTGAAGTGGTGGCGGGACTAAACCCGTTTTACACAAGTATGATCGATTGAAATGAAATTTTTATGCTTTTCATTAAATTGAGCATGCTTACTTGAAATTTAATTGATTGTTCTGATGATTTGAAAGTGATTGGTGAATTATGATTTTTCTGCTAACTTCAGCCTGTTTTGTCTCCGATGTGGTCATGTTATTAGTGACCCTGCTAGTGGGGGGGGTTAAACACTAACACATGTCAACATGTTAGTGATAGAACTGGTTTGTTTGAGTGACCCTGCTAGTGGGGATTATACACTAGTAAATAGTGTGCCTGCCAGTGGGTGGTTTATAACACTGGCCGTGATCTATAGAGGAGACGTCTATTTTGTTCCCATACTGTATCCGTTTTTCGTGATTACACTTGTTGGCATGCTATGAGTTTAATAAGGGGCACTCTATATTTTACTTACTAAGTTTATCTCATAATTTTTCCTTGTCCACCATTT